CTCAGATGGGGCCCAATAGGGCCGATGCCGATTCGGAGTCGCGGAGAACCTAACGGGTAACCGGGGCTCCGGCTCGACGTGCAGGAGAAGGAACGGGGTGGTTTTTAGTCAGTAAGAGTCTGACACTCCCTCCCGCCTCACCCAGGCGGGAGCAGTCATTCGATGATTTTCCCCCCTTAAAAACAAAATGGTATAGTGACTGGACATTTGAAGTGTATTATACATTCAAGTCCTACTCAAAGGGCGTCATAATTAAGATAAAAAACGATCGCAGCCTCATAAACAGAAGCCGTTAGGAAAAAAATTTAGAAAAAATATTTTTTGTCACTTTTCGTCATAACGATACATTTTTTGTGCTTGACTCATTCATGACAACGCTATTTTTTCTCAGCCATTCAACAAGCCATAGTAATTGTTGCTAATTATCAATTCCAATAGATTACCTACACTTATTGCTGTAAGACATCCGTTCTTGTTGCGTCTCTTCTTTGATTTTGAGGAAAAATATACGAATCTTGCCTTATAGTTGAATTAGGAAATGACACATATTTATTTCGATATTGACAGTCTCGAAAAAACATTGATCGGAGAGAAAAAAATAGCGATTGCTAGTGCTTTTATATCTGTTTCTTCGGCAGATAGATATCTAAACTAACCACGAAGAAAAACGTATTATTTATTTCATTAAAACCATTTAAACGTGACTACAACCACAATCAATACCCGACATAACGACCACAAACAAGACCTTTCAGAACTGACAATATTTGTACTATAATAACAGAATTTTTATAAAGAAAACTATCACAATAACATAATAGTTTAATAAAAAAAATAAAAAGAAATTCACGATCGCACCTGCCAGTGATAAACACACACGCAACTCGATACAACTGTATCGATAATCGGCCATTTAATAATCGAATGGCGCGTCACTATCGTGATAGTGCGACGTTAAAAAGTGATGTACCTTATCGCAAGTGAAATTGAAATTGATCATTTCGTAGAATTAATGTTTATTGGAGTGATAACCGTTATTTGTCATATGGTCAAGTAATTGGTATAAAATAATATATACGTATTTTTAGTCGCTGAGACACGCGTCGGGGTTATGAACGTTCGTGTTTATTAATTAATAAGCGAATTGATTAACTTCATGAGGTTGGGAAAGTTTACATTAGTTATCGACATGAAATCGATTATTTTACTTGCATGCCTTTACAAGACTTTGTAATTTAATAACTAACTCACTTTACTATCTCTCACAGACCACAACCATCCACGCAAAATCGAAACTGAATGCCAAAAAAACGTAACTCGATTCAATAAAAGAACACTCGTTTTAAACCAATACGACAAAAGGGCACTTAGCACACGTTCGAAAACCGCTCCGCTTTTAAAAAGAGAAAACAAAACGCATCAATCAAAGAACAGAAATGAAATAATCGAATTGCAGAACGTCGAGCGTAGTTCAAAGAGCACAAGCGAAGACCGCAACAGATTTAAAAAGTAGAATAAAAAAAAAAACTAAAATGGCCGAACATGACTAATATCTGGTACAAAGTTCGGTGTCGATATGAACAAAAGGAAACGGAAGGGGAAGGTATTTAGAAATGGAACGTTCAGAGCGGGCGGGAATTGATTCTTTTTGAAATTCGAAGTCATTTTGCTGGATTGAATTGTTTGGTGTACGTACCTCTTTTTGTTGCAATCAAAACGATTTGCATCCACATTCCGACTGCGATTTATTGACTTTTAAAAAAGCTTTTCTGAATTGTTTTGACTCTCAATTCATCTGTAAATTAAATTAAAATATCATAAATACAAGTTAAAGATAACCATCGGTTGAAAAAACTCCTTGTAAAATAAACCCCTTAGTTTTTTTCTTGTAAACCGTTGCATGTCAATAAATAATTAGGTTAGAAAGTTTATAAAAAAAACGCTGAACTGAAAGGCATCGATTGAATGGCTACTAGCGAACTTTTTCGTCACGAACCCAACGATTTCGATGCACGATAGATTTTACTACTGTTCGAGTTCACTATCGACTGTTTCGGCAAACCTCTAATATACCCCAAAAAACTAAAAATTGAGCAAAAATACACCTTATTGACGAACAATAAAGGTGTGTGAAGATTTCCGAATGATTGTTTTCGTATTTTATTAGATTTCTTCGATGTATTTTAGAATTTGAGGGTATTTTTTATTAACAACAGTGATAAAAATGTTTGCGGCCGTGTCTCCGTCTCTTGTTGTTGAGTGTAGTCTTTGGATAGTCGTAAAATAGTTTTTTAATGGTTTACTAAATCATTATAATGATGCGCCTCAGGTTGGTATGAAGGAAGAAAGTATAGGAGCATTTTCGTTAATAGATATTAAAATCTTTTATGATTGTGCTTTATCATTGGGACAGTTCACTTTTCTGTATTTCCTGACAAACATAAATAACACAAAGTTGTATTGGAATACCTATCTAAGAATCGTCTATTCAATCTGTGATAAAAATATAAGATCGTTGTCTATGGAACATTCTTCAAAATATGTTTCAAAGAGGTCCCTATTTTTAGTTCCAAATTCAAACTATCGCAGTACCCGTCAACAGTTTTCAATTACGCGCCAATTTCGAAGGAACATGTACACGACACAAACCACTTAGCGACACGACAAATTTACAATTCTAATTCACAGTTAATTTATATTATATTCCAACGTAGACATATTTTAGGATTTTGTCGAAAAATAAAGTTGTTAGAAGCCATTGTAGTGGGGGAGGCAGCGAACGGGCGACCAGCACGCGACCAAAGATCACTATCGATGACAAACTTACCAAGTAACCAATATCTATAGAGTAATCTAATAAAATAATCCTTATACCGTCGACTTAAGGTCCAAACAAAGAACAAACAATAGACGCAAACCGAAATTCAAATGATGACGTTTGATTTTTTAAAATTGAAGTTTCAATTTTTTTTCTTTCCCCCGTTAATTAATTCAAAGGGCCAATTTCTTTTTTATTTTAAAGACGGCAGCAAAAGCCAATGCTTGCGCCCATTAATAGTTTCTAGGAACCTCTACAGCTTTTACGGGCTATTTTTTAATGGCAATTAAAAGTAACATATTCCATTGATTAACATTTAGTAAATAACTGTCAGTTTTGTTCGCAATGACATTTGACCTGTCAAAAATTATGACTTTTATATCGTGAAATTGAAAAAGTAGGTAATAGCCGTGTTTTTGTTATGTCCATGTCCATTGTGTTTAATTTTAGTTGCGGGAATTACAATTGATTTGTTTAGTGTAACGTGTAGTAGAAAATTAACAATACGTAGGGGTAAAGCGTTACTAATAACGACTGCAGCTTATCAGTAAGATCTGACCTCCCTCGCTAATGAATATTAACTAATACGAACTGCTGCAAAGTGGATGGTTACTTTACAGCCATATTTTGTCAGACTCGGTGACTCACTTTAAAATAGTGAAATCAGTTTATTAAATGTACTTACTTTATTTTATTTTCATGGACATTCTGTAATTATTTTTCCTACATTTGTAACTACGGAGAGCTCTAGTCTTTTAAACCAATTATAATTTTATGCTAACAATTCTATTTTTAAAATGCTGTTTCCGTGACACTGACAGATTCTGACATCTAATCACATATCCAATGACTAGTGATGTAGTTGAAACTAACTAATTAACATTAGAAATCGATTCGTACAATCGCCTAATCGATTCAACGCGTGTAGAGTTCGTGCGGGCGTGTAATCCTGTTTGCATATCGTCTAGCACGAAACTCCCGCACTTATCATGTTTATTGATTGACACGGCAGTAATTCAACGTACCAACCCCACCGGCCAACTTACCCGGTGCTGTGCAATTTGGGAGTTGACAGCGGAAAGAAAAAAATATAAAAAAAGTAAATAAAAAAAATCATGCTCGTCTATTGCATTTCTTTCTTGTCTTGTCAATTAAATTGTAAGACTAAACAGTTCAGTCATATTATTGCAGATATGAAAAATTATTTTATTAGCCATAATAAGTATTTGTATAACAATCATATGATTTTTTTACACCTTCCATATGGAATGACATATTCCATTGCAGTAACACATGTAATTATAAAAAATAACAAACGTCAAACGATAATTTTTGCCACTATTATCCGAACAAGTTTATAAGCCATAGACAAAGGTCGCTGCATCTAACGCTTCAGTATATGCTTTAGGCCGGTCTCACAAATTCACAGGTAGCAGTTTACGGCTCTTTGTTTGGGTGGCGATAAGTTTTTACATGTTTTATTATACTATTTAGTATTTACTATAACATGAACTAAATGAAGAAACAAACGACTTCGTGTAAAGAGGTTTAAACATTTTCCCGCTTAATATAACGGACTATTTTTAAATTCAAACTTGGAGCGCGGTTGGATTGATTTCTTTATGGTAGTTCGATATTAGATTTTTTGTTCTTTATTTTTATTTTGAATGATTGTAATGTTTTGATAGATAACGTGTCTATTTAGTGACAGTTAGAAACTGTTTTGCAAGTTCAGCGGTTGAACCAAAACATGTTCAGCCAGGACTAAGATACCGTTGTGCAATGGTGGCTACATGTTGCTAGTGATTCGCCCACGCATTCAAACTAACCATTTTATCTAACAAGTCACAGCCTAAGTAGAGGTAGAATATCGAAAGTTAATGTCCACTCCTATTATCGTCAGACCTGACCGCTGAAATCTTTGTCCCCTGACCGATATTAACGATTCACGACAAACCCGTTACCATTTTTCATAGTTTTCCTCCTTTGTGTTCCACAGACGTCTACCTCCCGATTGTTCTTTTCGATCCACGAACCTGTCAATTTACTTTTTCGTAAGCTATCGCTTTGATCAAAGTTCGCAACCAAATTAGTTTCGACACGAAAACCGAGTGGCCGATTGTCTACAGACAATAGAATCGATGTAAAACCTTCCCCTTTCAATCGCCTTTTTCTGTTTCAGGCCGAGCAGCGCAACAATAAGAAAGTAAAAGAAAAAACATTCGACACGCGAGCCAAAGGAAAGAACAATCGAGATATTTAGTTGAGTCAAGAATCGATTCGACGGTTCAGTTCTATGATTTGAATGTAGAATGTGTCGGTGTGCACAAGTGATGTACAGACGCGCGCGATGTTGATGTGGTCAGTATGAGCCGGGCGTGAGACTTGGACGGATGCACCCCACGGGCGCGGCCAGCCTGCCCGCCGCACCAGAGGCGGAGGTGCAAGCTATGCACTCGATGGACTGGCTCTTCAAGAAAGAGAGAATATATTTACTAGCGCAGTTCTGGCAACAGGTAAGATAGAAAAAACCAAACAACCCGAGACCCCTACTTACTACCCCAATCACAACACATTACACACACAATACCTCAACTAATTTCTAACGTAATTACCCAACCCTATGAACGCGACACGGGGTGGCTTGTACCCTTATAACTCCACACTATTCGAAACAATTGAATACCGATAGCTGTTAGACAATGTAGCAACAAAATCAATTAATAGTTGAAAATTAGAGGCACAATTAACCTGCAGAACCCACGGGTCGGGACGACCATCGAGACGTGATTATTGTATTGTCTCGTATGGTAATTGTGATTGGTGTATTAGCTATTTCTGTGCGGACTTGAGGTTAGCGTACTTTGGTGGCCTATTCTGAGAGCATTGAAACAATAATGTAGCTTTGTAAGAAACAAATATTTAAAATTGTAACATATCTTAATAGATTTGATTTTAAACCTCAGGAAGAGAACACAATAAACAATAATTATTTTTATTACACACACACACACAGATATACAAAGCCGTATCGAATCAACAATTATAACAAAACAATACAATAGTTCTAAGTATTCTGATCTGATCTATTGCGATATTTAGATCTATATCGTCAATAGTAAGGTCGCAGGATGTTACACCACAAAGGAAGCACGTTGATGATTCCAAATCATTACGCAAATTACTTATAAAAAGGTATATTGAAAAGATTAATAGTCTTTAATGACTATTTATTATGGGTTTATACATGATCTTAAGAGATTTAACTGCTCATCGTTAATTACGAGAAAAAATGTACATTGCATTTAACTAATTAAATTATCCAATAAAATTCGCTTATATTGGCCCGTTCATTTAAGGGTTACAGAAAGCCAAAGCTCATATTCTCTATTCAAAAGAAGAAAAACGTTTAAATTCTAAATTCGAACAGCAACGTCTATTAGATTCTCAAGTGAATATCATAGATAATGAGTTTTGATCTGTGACACGGCATTGGCTATGTCAAACGCCATTCAATTATTACACGTCGCATTATCGTCTAATGTGTGTAATATTGAATAATAACATCGATCTAGAATGGGACACACGTATAAATTAATATGTAAAATGGCGGCGATGGAGGGTCAAAATGGCTTCTTGAAGAATGCTAAATGAATTGTCGGGTTAGTACTTTGTGATTTGTAATTATGTGCATCTTAAATCAGTTGTTCTCAGTACTAAAAGTTATTGTTTGGTCTATAATAAATCTCAGACAATAGACAATGATTGCAGCCATTTAAAAAAAAAAAAAAAACTGTCAAAAAATTCAAATTCAACCATAGAATCAACAATCACATCTCGTTTCAAATCCAGACCAATAAAAGCAATTCGGAATTCAATTTCGCATCCCTATTCTAGATTCCGATACGACATTAAACGACAAATTACGAACAATAGTATCATATAAACGGCTATGCGAAATAAATATTCATTCGCGTTCAAGGAACGGCTACCGATTCGTCCCACTGATACTAAACACATTTGAATGCTGCTTTCCGATAGTATTGTTGGTACCCTAAGCCTTAACATTGATTAAAAAGCATATTAACATATAAAATTTGCATACTCCGTGCCTCGAATTGCACTTATCGATTAGAACGTAGCAAGGACGTTTTGTTTTAATTTCATAGTTAATTTTATGATGTTTCTCTACTATTTTGCATATAAATATGCATTTTAAAGTTGTGTTCGCGTGTTTCTGTTATATGTCACAATATATCGCGAGCTTGAGAACGGTATTTCATTAATATGGATTTCTGTGTTCGACTTCAACGAATAGTGAATAGCGTTACCAAATAAATAAGGAGGCTACGTCAAGTTCTAGTTAGGATGTAAGATAAAAAAATGGAAATAAAGTCGTTTTACAGTATTATTGTGTATGCACAAAAATTCATGTTAAGTTGCAAATCTTTCCCTATATCTTGATGGTATCCGACAATTTATTTCTTAGATCTTAACTTTTTATAAATTGATTGTAATGTATAAAAAAGCATACAGTCGCAATAAATAACTTTTGATATTTTTCACAAAAACCAACATACCAAGCTTCAATACCTGCTTAAGTAAAACGACCAAGGCTCCATTAAATAGCATTAAAATAGGTATCTAATCGTAAAATAGCGAAAGTAAACATATTTATAATTAAATCAGTAATTAACACGAACATAAAAACTTGAATTCTTTTATTTGTTTTTATTAATAACTCGTAGAATAGTTTCGGAAGTTCATGTGTTTTTGCAAAAACCATATTACAATTATTAATAAACTTTCATAATAGAGTACGTTTCGTTATAACAACAGTAATTTCTCCAGCAGCTTTATTAACAACTTGGATGCATTTCAGATTGACTTCACAATAAAACTAGTCTCGTTTTCTACATCACTAATAAAAAATAATATCACAAGTAATCAAGTGCACGAGTCAATTAAATTTTCAATTAAAGTTTCTACACATCACTAGTCGATCGCTAAGACGTCATTTGCAGTCATAAAACTTGTATAATCGCCATCTAAACCAATAGTAATAAATGGAAGAGCAGCCACCCATCTTGATTGAACGAGACAACGACCCAAACATTCACTACTAAGCCTCACGTCACGCATGACATTGACATTCACTTGTCAACTGTCATTTTTCGCGGCAAACGCATCTTCTTTTTAATTTCCTTTTTTAAATTTTCTCAACAGCCAGGTTCTCAAAGAAGGTTGTTAATAAAACTAACAATTAACATCAATAAAATCCTTGCGGCCTATAGCTTCGCATCATTTTATTGTCACTATAATTGAATAAGGTCGACCGAGCTTCGATTCAATCGTTTTTATATCGTTTAGCGACGTAAAGTGGCAAAAAATAAGGATGTTGAGGACAGAGAGGTTTGTAAAAAGCCTTCTTAGTCTAGACTGTATTGTGTCTGCATTACATACTTATTTTGCAAAAAGTTTCCTCTCAGAATTTGTTAATCCATCAGAGTATAGGTAATGGTTCGTTAAGTTTGAACACAAGTGATCATTAGTATAATTCATCAAAATTCTTCATTATAATTATTTGCGTTGCTGTCTTTATTTGATTTATTTTTTGTTTCAATCACTGATCATAAATGCTTGGCAACTCATTAGTAGATATAATGACGTTTGCATGCAAAAACTTTTCACGGTAGCGAAACACGTTCGCGGTTTCCAAAATAACTTTAAATTTAAAAATTAAACTTCAGAGGCTCGTCCCAAACGTTAATTAGTGTTGGCCAAGGAACGTCACCGCAAACATTCGAATTTCGACGCCGTAATTAATCGACTCGATTCATCGGCCGATCGTATCGGTTTGGATCGTAAAAAGAGCATTTCCCTACGAGTTCCAAGAGGAATGCAATCGGTTCCCACAGCCTTGATGCCCCGAAGAATTTGTCTCGTGTCCCATTCAGGGCAAAAAATCGCGTGCTTTCCCATGCCTACGTCAGTTCTGGGTCGAATAGTGACGCCAGCAAGGACGTAGACACCATAAAATAAAACTAAACGGTGCCCTCTTTTCTCTTAAACAAATGAGCACTAAGTGACCAAAGTTTATTTTTAAGACTTTTTACTCCAATTATCTTATTATCGTGCAAAAACAGAAAGCTTAGTCTCCAAAAACTTCTCCTTTGGAATCTTTTGCCGCGAATACGACCCAAACAAAAACTGAGACCTGTATTTAAAAATCGATTGCAACCAAAAAATTGTCACTGACAAATGATTCGAACGCCTTGCGGTTGAAATTACGAATTCAAATCTTCGTATTTCGGAACAAAAACCGCCATTAACCGACGGTTGTTACCTTTTTTCGACTGTCAATGATTTTCGGGGCTAATCGTGTTTTTTGCCGATATGTTCGAGGCTAATCGATGCATCAGGTTCTCTAATTCGATTTGCGCCCCTCCCCCTGCATCTATAAGTGGGCGTTACCTATCGATCCTCTAGCTCGATCATTACCATAGACTAATCATTTTTTCGAACAGAAATTCCTCGCCTTAAACTTAACCTTGTGTAATTTAAATATAGTAAATATAAAAATATAGTTGTATTTAATGTTGTACATGTAATTTTCGGTAGCGCAAAATCGAATGTTACTGCGAGCCATAAACGAGCGCTTCACGACGTAGCTCAATAATTTAATAAAAATACTAAGAAAAAAATAAAGAATCGATTGTGGTTGATGGCCGGCCGCACGAATCATCTGTGGAACATTCAAATCATCAAGCGCTGATGGTTTTTTAATGATATTTTTCACAATCGGACCGATCATTGATGGTTATTAGGTATAGGCGAGTGCCCCGAGACATGAATGTTAAGACTTCGACACAGTTAACATCGTCTTGCCATGTATCTTACGCTAATCTGATCTTTAACACGACTTGATAAAGGGCAAAATCCTGTAGAAATCATCAGCTATTAGTGGTATTTCCATGTGGTCGTGTAGATCAGCTGTGGTGGGAACGGCGCTGACTATGATGCGTCATACAAAAATTACAAAATTGTGAATGTTCAACAAAATAGAAAACTTATAGCGTGCCCCTCCTCAGCCGATTGTTTGTCTTTCGTTTTACATTGGATTGAAATAATAATCAACACTTTAATGCAGCTAGACAACTGTTAGATATATTTATAGATTAAATAAACTCCAACAATATGTTCTGGCTGTTTGATATTTACAATCAAAGCTGTTTTCTCAATTATTTGGGTCAATAAAACGTCGGAATCAATTTAGCATGATCTCATGACATCATTATCAAAACATAAAGTAATGTTCTGGCACAACGTTTTTTGTTTTGACAACAATTTGCTGCATCAGTTTGGAAAAGAAGCAACGTAAAATCAATACACCATTTAAAATCGACTAAACTAACGAACAATAGAGAACACGGGTAGCATCCCAACGGGCGGCGGGAGTCGAGTGCTCATTATCATAATCTTAACCGCTTTCAACTGGTTTCGACTAATTTCCCGC